TATATACATATTTTTTCTAGTATATACACTCTCTATCAAATATATACTGCATATATATATATATATATATATATATATATATATATATATATATATATTTATTTTTTTTCCTCAGGATTATTTGCTGACAGATACGTATTATGCGCTAAAACTTCCTTGTGGATCAGTGGCGTGTGTTTTTCTAACATGTGGGATTTTCAACCTCCAGCTGGTTCTGAAGAGCTCCACCATGCCCATGCAGGTGGACGGGGAGCCCTGGGCTCAGGGGCCCTGCACCATCACCATCACCCATAAGACCCAGACCTTCATGCTGTACCACAGCACTGAGCAGACAGACGATGACGACGACGAGTCCAGCGCCTCCGAGCCGGAGAGCCCGGCCCCTCATGACTCCCCCAGGCCCCCGTGGTTGACTACTGTGCAGGCGTGATGCGCCTCAGGCATCACGAGATCCTGAAACGCCTCCTGTCTTGGTTTCTGTTTTACAGTCCGACTTCACTGGTCCGCTGCCTGCTTGAGTTTGTCTCCACTTCATACACCGGGTCTCGGTTTTGAATCCTCGTTTTGTGTTCTTTGTCCTTTATCTTTGAACCAACATTTGTTCCAGCTGAGAGCTCAGGCATTTACTATCTGGAGCAGTCAGGCGGCGGCGAACATGTTAAGGAAAGCTTTCTGTTTATTTGCACTGATCCCTCGTGCCATGTAGATTATAGAGTCTAGAGATAACTGTGCTGTATTTATTCTGCTATATTTAAAACAGAGTGTTCGTTTTAGTGAGCCAAATTTAACTCGTTCTCCAAGCCCTCTAAAAGCCATGTCGGACCTGCAGCAGGCCATGAAAAGCTCTGATACAAGGAAGAGTCGTGTAAGAGATGACGGACGCCATCAACTCTCAGTGATTCATCTTGCGTTTTATGGCCTAAACCAAGCACAAAAGAAAGCTCTCTCTTGTGTCTGTTGCTGAAACTTTGAACGTTTGCCAAAAGATCCATGAGGGTGACGGAATGGCCACCGCCAAGATTCAGTAACTTGCAGACATATTCTTGCACCTTGGAGCTTTCCGCATTTTGTCAAGTTACAATGAGAGACGTCAGTGTGTTTTACTGGGATTTGATGTGATAGACAAGCATAAAGTCCTGCATATCTATGAAATGGAAGGGAAGTGGGAGAGTTTTCAAATTTTTACTGAAAATATAAAATGCTGGGAATACATTTGTATTCATAACCCTGAGTAGAGGCTGCGCTTCCAGCTTTTTGGGCGCCGCCTCTCCTGTATTTAACCCCAATCCTTCCAAGCAACTCTGCCCATCAGTCCTAATAGCATACAGGACGTCATTTTGAAAAACATGAATAATTTTCATTCGCCTTCAAACACATGTACTGTTTTCTGTTGGCCTGTCACATCAAACCACAATAAAATGTACTCAAGTTGGAAATGCTACAGTTTTCACCTTTGGAAGTGACTATCTGTTTAATCATGAGACACTGCTCCTTTAGTTTGCATCTTTGGAAGCAGTTTGAGGAGCTTTTCCCTGGTGCCGAATATTCAGATTCACTAGATGTCCCTGCAGGAAACGGGCCGACTCGTTGACGGTCGATATGAAAGCACTGCCAAGTCGAAATGGAACTACTTTTCCAGCATGTAAAAAAAAAAAAAAAAAAAAAAATCTTCTTTCCTCGTCTTTGCAAACTGTTTACATACTTTGTGTTGCACTTGAACATAGCTCCTATCCATGTTACTGCCATAAATTATACCTGCTGATGAGATTTTACATTGTGCAAGCAGTCCTTCAGCTTCTCGTGTTTTACCTGTTCTCACCACCAGGGGGGAGGCTGAGGACAGTATTTAGCGCTAGAGCTTTTCAGACCCCTTTAGTTCAGTAGTTGCAGCATCTGTTGCGTGTACCTCCATGTGTTGCTCGGGGTGAGGCTGTTGCACTTTGTGTTTGTCGGAAATCCTGGCGCTCCGAGCCATATCAGTAAAAGTCTGTAGGATGTCCAGTTAAAAGTTTGCTGCAGCAGGCTTTGAGGTTGAACAGGATCAGTAATTAGCCATGATGATGCCTTGCTGGACGACAAGGCAGCAAGGCGTCTGCCAGAGCTTTGTGTTGTGATGAAGCAGCACTTATGAAGCTCAAACTGCAGGATTCTCCCTCCGAGTTTCCTTTTGTAAAGCTGATTTGACATTTTATTGCAGGACTGACAGTGTTATTTGCTTGGGCAGACTCATAAATCCTGAGCATTTATGAGATTTTAAGCTGGCTTGTAAACAGTATTGCTTTAAAGCTCAAATGTCAGTGACAGAAAAGCAGCTTCAGCTTTAAAAACTCCACTAAATGACTTGAAATACTTGTATAATCAACGACTTACTTTGCTGCTGTCAAAATTGCTTATAAGAATCTACTGTAATGATAATCAGCAACTTTAGGAAGACTTGTGTGATCCCAGTTTACTACAAACTACCAAGAAACAGAGCTCAGAGGAAAACAAGCGTTTAATGCAAACAATCATTAAAAAAAATGGCTGTTTACAAAATGTGACAAGAACCAATTTTGATTGAGATGAATGTAAAGAGGTGATGTTTTGAATTTGAAGACATTCCCATAAATATTTTCATACATAACCAAGGTGTTTCTGTGTTTTCATTCAATTCAATTGATAAGAATAAATTATTTACATTTCAGATGACACGGTGTCTTTAATAGAGCTTGGAAAGTGGTTTGGGATACATCACCCAAGTACCTGAAGAGGTTTGATTTTTTTTTTCTTTATTTGAATTTATATATTCTGTGTTTTCACATACAAAATAGTGACTAATGCAGTGATCAGCCTTTTTTCTCCATTTGTGTTCTTTCTAAATGGATGAATGAACATGATGCTTCAATATACAGTTATGTGTTGTTTTCTGTGATGTTATCCAACTTAAATAACGCTTCGCATTATAAAGCAGGTGGCAGGATCTACGCACAGACGCCATACAACAGCAGAGTTAAGGTGCATGCAAAGTTTATAACCTCGCTCAGAATGATTGAGATCAGAAATGCTGTCAGTAAGGATCACTTAGCAAGTCATATCTGACTAACTGAAACTATAACCCACGGATCCATTTCCCTTCTGCTCCATATAAAGGTTTTTGACTTCTACGTTATTTTTCTTGTACCCATTTTGTGCATAATTAACTGTAGACTTGCAATATATATATGGGGGGGAGATGAGGTGGAACATTTTAAAATATTTTTCTAAAAATCTAACCTTTCCTATTAGAAACTTTTTCATTGATATTTAAGTAATCCCAAAATGTCACAAAACTATAGTTATATTTGAATAAAGATTAAAGGCTGGTTAAGTTTAATACCCCAAACAAAACATGAAGCAAACAGTAACGATCACACCAGTGTTACTGAGCGTAGGTCCAGCAGTCCCTTCCGGTTCTGCTGACGAACTCTGACCCTGACAGTTATTTATTTTTTCTAGGATGTGGGTTTGGCCCGGCCGGTTTCCCTGACGGCGGCTGTCCTTTCGGCTTGTCTTTCTTAGCAGAATCGGGTCCTTTCCACCCAGGCTTCTGTCCTCCTTGTGCGCTTGGTGGCTTTTTGCCTTGCTCTGAAACAAAGTGCAGAATGCTTTTTTCTCTCGTGTGTGTGTAGCAGAACAGACATAACGCTGAAATGAAACACCTGAGTTTTTAAACGCAGCCTTTGGTTGCATTGGAAGAGGCCCAAGAGCAAACCTTAAAAGGCCTGAACAATAAAACTAGTTACTCCAGTTTAGGAGAAGCTACTGTTTTTATTGGCGAAAGTATCCGTGAACTTCGTCCTGAGCACAGCTGACTGCAGACACACAGTCACCACCTGACAAACAGCTGGATGCTGAACTCAGCATGTCTTCATAGAAACTCAGCTCTGGCTGAAAACTCAGGATCAAATTTAAAAAAAAAAAAAAAAAAAGTCACGTCCTTTTAAAAGGTAAAAATTTCACTGACTTTTAGGATTTTTATGTGACAGATCAATACAAATTAGTCCAAAGTTTCAGGAACAGATGTGTTGTTTATAACTTTTCCCCCCCTCATTAAAATCTGCAAATGTGGCAAGAATTTGTATCACACCATTCAAGTGTTTTGCAGCAGAATATTTCACAGAAATGGAAAGCTCAAACCATGAGATATGTTGTTTCTCACCCAATTCAGACACACAAACCATGTTTTTTCTTTTTCTCCTCAATAGTAATGACAACTTCCTGTTGGTCTTTTACATAGAAGACTAAATTAAACGCATAAAAAGTTTGTGATAAAGTGACAAAATATCTTCCAATGCTCTAGGGCCCCATCTATTACACCAATTAAATTTATCAAAGACTACAGCCCTTAATAAACCTTAATATCTGATGCATTTATTTCTGCCGGGTTGGTACAAGGTGAATGTGCAAACAGAATACAACGTTAAATAACTTACTGTGAGAGGGTTGGTGGCCACCGTCAGACTTCTTGTCTGAAAGGCGATAAACAGTAAAATATGAAAGACATTCTATATTTGTTCACTGAGATTTCGCTGCCGTCGTCTGTATTTTCAGTCCAAATTTATCTTTTTGTGCGTCATGATTTAATTTTTTTCCCCACGCCTTCACTATTTAAAAATGCATGCTTCCTCAAAACAAATTTGCCATTTTTATTTTATTTTTTTCAAAAAACAACAATATAAAGCAAAGTTCTGATTAAAGAGGTTTTGAAAAAACCAGCCATCGATCAACGAGCCTCACATGAAATCTTTCCAAAGACAACAAGCTGATCTATGTGTTCACTGGATCAACACTAACAATGCAAATAGCTGATAAAAGATTTTTGGTGGAAAGAAAAACAAACAGAATACAAAAAAAAAACTGTTATATAACCAATTCAAAGAAATAAAAACAAACCAGACAGTTGCATTGCAGGTCATGATCTGTTTGTTTGTTTGTTTTTTAATTATTATTTAGCTGCAAGATTTTTAGAAACCTATGAGAATCGTGTTCCTTGAATAACCGACCAATGCTTCTCATATTTTAAAAGTCGATTTTAGACCAAGAACCCAAAACATTTCTGAAAATTCACCCGTTTCCATTTCACTCAACTCCTCAGTCAGAGAGTGAAATGCCACTAAAAGTTATGTAGATCCTCAAACTTAGAATAAAAACTTGAAGTAAATCTAATTTTCAAAAAGAAATATATTAGTTCACTATTGCTTCATTGTTTTCCCCTGAAACTTTTTTTTTTTAAATGACTCCACCTGGATGTTTTCCTAACATGACAAGAGTTACATTACAGTGACATTTGTCTTCAATGAGCAGCTATTGATGAAGAGGAGTGGCTGCTCTTCCTCCTACAACCCTTACCTTTTTAGCCGTACTTTCAAAATGTTTCACAGCGTACTGAAAAAATGGAGCTACAGATGGCCGGGTCATGGTGCTTGTCCAGTTAGCGTATGGTTTTGGATCATGAAGACGCCGTCTTTTACCTTTGCTTTTGGGCGGATGGTTCTTGTCTCCACCCCGACTTGGTGCCACTTTGTGGGCTGGTTTACCGACTGGCTTTCCTACTGTTTTCTTAGTCATTTCTCCAGGACTTTTCTGAGAAGCTGAAGTTTGAAGAAATCTGTAAGCTAGGTTTCTTTTTGCAGCTTATAATGTAAGAGAATACATTACCATTCTGCCATTTTTTTTAATGCATGGTTCATTTGTTTTGCTAGAGATGTTGGTTTGGTGCTTAATTGGTTTCCCTCTTTGTAGCCAACCAAAAATTAAGTCAAATTAATGTAAAGAGGCTTTCAGTAAATAGTTGCGTGTGATGTTTGTGTTTTATGCTACGTACGCGGCTTCTGGCCATGGAAGAACGAAGGCGGAGGCCTGGAAAAGCCAGTTGGCTGACTCTGCTGCGGAGTCCATGTTGGCTTTGCCTGTATGTAAACAGGAATATGGACGGGTTGGTAGATGGTCTGGACAGGTGGGCGACCTGGACTATGGGACCTGGGTGGAGGTCTTTGCTCTGGGGGCCTCGGGGATTCTGAAAAGAGAAATAAATAATTTGCATGCATCACAAAACAGTGCCTTGGAAAAGTATTTGTGCCCCTTGAACGTTTGTCATGTTACGACCTTAAAATTCAGTCCATTTCATTGGGGAGCAGCACAAAGAAGTGGTCTGGAACATAAAAACTAGGTGTTTTTATGTTTAAAAAGCCTGACCTGGCAATACCAATTTTTTTTTTCCACAGAAAAATCATTAAATATAGCCTTAAGGTAAGTAAACTGGCAAAAGTGGGACGACTGCAGTCAACAGTGGGACATAAACAGACATGAGCTGGTGGGTGGGTCTATCACTCACCCCTCTCTCACAGCAGAGCAAAACAGTGGCCGATTTATTCTTTTTTTTTTTTTTAGACCTTTGCAGAAGTAGGTAAAATTTCTGTCTGAGATCGGTTCATCATCCAAGTATTGACAAATTGCCGATCTTCCAAAATCCAAGAAAATTGGGGTTGATTTATTGGTTAGCCCCTCATAAAAACATAACATACATGGGTGCCTTAATACTTTTGGAAGGAACCTGATACGAACACAGATTTCACTTTTATAAACATTTGGAAGCAACAATTAGTAGAACATTACGTACGAAACTCGGGGGCCCGGGCTGCACTGGTTTCTCCACCAGCAGCTCCTGAGACAGAAGCTTCTGCTTGTCCTGAAAAAGACAAAGTGGCTCCATTTTAAAACACTAAAATCTGTCTTTTAATACCATTTCACTACAACTGCATCTATGCAAGAGTAATCAAAATTCATTTTTTGGCATTTTCTACATCACATCAACCCACCAGATGCAGCATATCCAGCGTTAGGTTGTGCAAGATAACCGAACATTACTGGCTTTATTCAAGTGGGACAGTTCTAATTTTAGTGTATCTGCATATTTACCTGGTTTTAGCAGTGGTACTCTGGCCTCAAAAGGCTGACTGAAGAGCGTCATCAGGCTCTCCTGCAGGGCGGCAGCAAAGCTCTGCGTTGCCATCACCCTTTTGGAGTCCATGTTAACTCGAGGGGGGTGGGGGTCAAACTTAACCACCCGGGGCAACTCAAATGAAGCCTGCGGGGAGCAAGTGAATTTAGTGAGAAGAGTTTCTTAAGGCGCTTTTCCACTAGACCGCTCCTGACCCAGTCCACGCATGACTGCTGCACGCTCAAGGAACAGTGCGTATAATGGAAAAGCTCACTACGTTGGGTAAAGCTGCACGTTAACCGGTTAGTGCGCAACTAGCCAGTGGAAAAGCGCCTTTAGTACTGCTACTGAAAGAGGAAGTGTGTTTTAGTCCCACCTGCAGAAAGGCTGGCGTTCCCGCCTGACTCAGCAGATTGTCGATCTTCTCTCTGGCTTTCTTCATCCTCTCACTGTTGTCGTTGAACTTTGTTGTGAGGTCGCGGAGTTTGGCCTGACCAGCCTCCAGCTCACAGTCCACCTCATGCTGGGCCACGCGCTCGTCCTGAGCCAACATCTCCCCTATCTGCTGGTACACAGCAGCCAGCGCCATCTTCCTCTTGCTCGCTGCGTCCTGGAGACAAGCAGACTGATTCACCTGTGCTTTATGAACGCCGACACACGAGGTGCAAAAGTTACCTTGAGCTTGCCCTGCAGCTCATTCATCTGAAGCACGATGGTGTCGGTCCTGTCAATCTTCAAGTTCAGAATGTCCAACTTCTCCCTGAATTCATACTGCAGAGGAAGAAATGAGAAACGAAGGTCAGCTCAAAGTAAAGCGTGTATAGGCTGAAACATTTGAGATGTTATGTCTCCTTCCCTTTTCTTACCAAAGGTTTTTTTCAGTCACAGCTGAGGACATGTGACATCATGTCCAAGACCTGTCTAGAGTAACGCTTGAACTGAGTTTCAATTTTTTGAATACATAGACAAAAAAAATAATAGTCATTTTTCCTGAAAGGTAAACTACATCTTAATTATGTTCTGACCTACAAATTCTTGAGGAAGGCTGTTGACTTGATACCTACCTGATCAGCAGACAGTCAGCTGCTAAAGAAGTTGGCTGTTCAGTGTGCGGTATCCATGTGTACTAATAGAAAGTTGCATGGAAGGAAAAAGTGTGTAAGAAAAACAAACAATTTAGCTTCTGTGAAAAAGATCGAATGAAAATCCCTCCTAAGATTCGTTAAAAAAAACAAACAACTTCAGAAAATATCTTGGTGATACGCTTACCAAGAAATCTTTCTCCACCAAGTTGTAGGTCAAATTGTGATGGAGGGATACAATATTTATTTCACTTAATGACATGTAAGCCTTTTTTCTTTTTACTTTTATGCTTTGCCTTTAACCTACATTTTTTTATGATTATATTTAATTAGTCTCCACACACATTTCATTAATATTGATGATAATAACTTTCTTTCATAGTCTGACGGCTATTGGCCCTATGAATGATTTTATGAGGCCCATATGACCTAAATTTGACGCAAAATGGAGGCAGAACAAGTTTGGCAAACAAGAGAAACAACCAGACCAGGAAGAGCATTAAAAAAACAAACATGAAGTGGCAAGATAAAAAAAAAAAATCTAGATAATAACCAAGCAAAATATGAACAGAAAGTTAAAAGGAAGTTATGAAGTGTGATTAAATTTTTTTGTTTCTTTAAGTGCGGTCCAAAATGCATTTTCTTATTTTTAAAATGTGCAGCAAATATAAGGTGGTCGTTAAAAATGAATTTAGTGAAACTCAGATCTCACTCACCGCTTTCAGGTTCCTTTGCTCCTCTGGAGAGGAAAAGCTGCAGCCTTTGTGGACCTGCTGCAGGCAGAGGCTGCAGATCAGGCGGCCATGGTCGGTGCAGAAGTGCTCCATCAGCTTGTGGTGGTCGGTGCAGATGTGCTCGGATAGATCCCCGACGGGCTCGGTCAGCTGGTGGAGGCGAAAGGTGGGGTTCTCCCGGTGGGGCCGCAGGTGCTCCTCGCAGAAGGAGGCCATGCAGGTGAGACAGGTCTGGGCTGCCTCGGCCTCCATACAGGTGTCACAGCGGACCACATCATCCCTCTCATCCTCATACCCTTCTTCGTCTTCATCCTCCTCTTCGTCGTCGTCGTCGTCGTCTTCTTCTTCTCCCTCTTCCTCCTTTACGGACTGCCCTCCTTCGGTCTTGTTGGACCTGACCCTGAAGGTCTCCACCACGGTGCTGAGGACCGTGTTCTTCTTCAGCTCCGGCCTGGTCTCGAACAGGGTCCGACACTGGGGGCAGCTGTAGGACTCGGTCCAGGTGGAGAGCAGGCAGTTCTGGCAGAAGTTGTGTCCGCAGGGGATGGTGACCGGGCAGTCAAATGTGCTCAGACAGATGCTGCAGGTCAGCTCGTCCTCCAGGCTCATGAGAGAAAAGCCAGAGTCTTCCGCGTCGGCCATGATGCGACTCACAGTGGGCGTTTACAGCAAGACTGCAAGAGAGAAACGAAACTTAACACTTGCGGTCCCGTGAAGGACAAAAACTCAGTTCAGAGTGGCCAAGCCGCATAAATTAATTTTATCCGACAACAAATTATTCATCTCATGAATCGTTATTATTTCTCCACCCACCTCTGCTGCCAGCGTTGGAGACTCCTGCCAAACGGGATGGATTTCCTCCAGCAAACTTGATCTCAACATGACCAGCTTTCAAGCCACTCCTAGTCTGTAGTCCACAGAGGAGAAAAACAAACGATGTGTGACCACGTCCAGATTAGCTGTCTGAACACAGACATTAGCCGAAATACTGTTGGAAAAATTAATAAAAATAAACAAAAAACAGTTTGTATAATAATAATAATAATAACAGCAGCTATGTCACATTGTTTTTCTACATTAACATCAACTAAGCCAACACGTTGAATTATTTAATGAAATTAAAACTGCTAGATGATTTTAGAAGTTATGCCACTGCAGTGAACAACCTGCTCTGGCGTTTAATGTAAATTAGTCAATAAATGACTTTCTTATTGTGTTTGCACGCGACAAAAGGGAAACCTCAGATTAAAAGGACTTAACTCAAGGCTTAATACATTTTGATGTTACTCACAGTGGATGAGCCGCATAATGGATATTTAACAAAAACTCATGACAAGTTCTTATTCAATGGGTCTAAGTGTAAGGATTTATAATCACATAACATGTGATAAACAGGTGTGAGCATCTCTATCAGCGCAGGAGGTTTTATGATTTAAAATGCTGTATTTGGAAGAAGTTGTTATTGACTTATACCAGTGAGCTTTGTTTTTGTTGTTGTTGAAAATACATAAACGACGAGATTGAATAGTTCAAGAAGGAAAGGGAAAGGTTGCAGTTAGCCTTGAACTTTGATCTTCTCCAGAACCCTGTTAATACTCTTTTTTTCTAATGGTAGATGCAAATTTCTCCTTTTTTTGTTCAAATAGAAGTTGAACTCTGTTTCTCCTCTGTGTGGGTGACACTTTGTTATTTTTTGTAATTTTAGCTTTTTGAACAAATAAAAATAAAAAAAACAGATTTTTTTTGCACATTTGAATATATTTTGTAAATACAAAACCTTGGATTTTGCGTTGATGTACTGCTCTGTGGGGTTATATTTACTTTGGCAAATTAATATTAGATTTAAAAGTAAAATCATGAACATGGAAATTATATTGATCAATTTCACACATGAAGGCTGATACTAATGCAAACATTACACCAGACTGGCTCTTTCCAATCTTTTTGTATTTTATTTAGCACGGTTTACGTTTCACTGTCTGATTTGAATTACTGAAATAAAATAGCATTTTGATTATCTAATTTTTAGCTGTACAAAGTGTAACACAAGAAGGAACATTAATATGTTGAACACAAAGCCTGGATTTTACTTGCTGATGACTTCTGCACAGATCACATTGTAAAGTCATCGGTGGAATCATAAATAAAAGGTGAGGCCACCAACATTGTTTATTACACTGCGTTAGATATAAATTCCTGGTACGTTATCGGTACTGAGTAAAACTAACACTAACAACTAAGTTGATCTTTCCTGCAACATCGTCTTAGAGAAAGTTGGATTGCTTATCATTTAGTGACACTTCTCTTTGACATAATTTTATTTGCATCTGCTGTAGATTTTGGACATAGCTGACTGCTAACAACAATTTGTTACAACCAGCACAGAAGCAGACCATAAACAAAGTTTATTCAATCAATCAATTATACTTTATTAATCCAAAAGAAAAATTACATTGCATTGAAGAAAGGCAAACAGGCACACAAGTTTGCGCCTCATGATGGTGCAAACTTGTGATTCAATCAGATGATTAAATACAACACATTCTAACAGATCATTATCGTTTATTCCATTAAAAGAACTTATTTAGAATGATTTTAGGCTTGAAACAGCAGAAGAAAAGATTGATTAATTACTCATCTTAATAGTAGCTGAAAGCACTTCTAGTAAGCATCAGGAAAGCATCAGGCAACATAAAACTTCATGAATTGGAAATCTTCCCTCCTTATAGTCAGCTCACATTAAGCCAACAGAGCATCCCGTTGGCTCGCTTTCCCAACTTTTAGAGGAAACTAAAGTGTTTCATCTCTGTGGGGCACAACAGAACCAAGTTCAAATCTGGACCTGGACTGTTGCTGAATATCCCCGTTCTCTCCATCTTTTCCTCATCCAAACGCCACCAGTGAAGCCAAAAAAAGTCTTCCAGGTGAACGAAAGAGAGAAACGGATGTTTCATTTCTTTAGTGAAACAGACTCTATATGACGTCTGCTCTGATCAAAGAAATGAAGTCAACACTCAAGGCTTGGTAATCCCGACAAAGTAAACGTATCCATTTACTCTGATTTCTAAGATTTGGCATAGTGTGGACAAGTAATATTTTCATCTCATCATATACTTTTTTTGCTGTGATTCTCCATCTGGTCTTTATAGCCTCCTCTACAAATAAAAGCAGGTTTTAAAACGCATTGCTTAATATAAAAACACTGCACATAAAATGACAAGCGATTCATTTTCACAATTTAAACAAGATTTACTAACCTAAAATTGATTTTTTGTGGTAAGAGATGATTTTACTGAATTGTAAGAATTTTATCATGTTGGGTGTACTTCTTTTTTTTTTTTTTTTTTTTTACAACTCTTTTCTTCCCATTTCCAAATACCAAAGCCTCGATATCAAGCTTCTCAACTTCTCCCTGAACAAAGTGGAAGCTGAAAGACCTGCATGCTCATAGGAAGCAAACACCCAGCAGTCAAAAGTAAAGACTTTGCAGGTGTTTGTTCAAAAAGATTTGCTGCCAGATGCCTTAAAAGGACAGAGCAACACTGGAGAAACAGGGTCTGTAAAGTTTCTAAATCCATCAGTACACTCCTTAACCTGAAGTGTGATCATATCACTGTGGATTTGTCGCAACTGAAATAATCACTGCAGTATTTCACAAGAATATTGCAAGTGATTTTCTGATATTGTGCAGGAATTTCAAAAACAGATCTGAAAAACTGAACCCAGATTATCGCTCATAACACATATTTTAAGAGTGTAATAGTAATAATCTGGTCCACTGCCACAAGCTCAGCTCCTGCCCTGCTGTATATTTTCTGTTTCAGATTAAGAAAAGAAAAACGAAAAAAAAAAAAGTGTGACTATCTCCAATCCACACTGATTGAAAGACAGTCAAGTCTTATTCCTTAATTACACTGGATGTTTTAAAATCAAATGTTTTCCTTTAAATACATCCCATAATTAGGAACAAAACACAGAAGCTAGTCCCAATCACCAAATCCAAACACTCGAGTAAAATGCTTCAGCAGCTTTTACTCTAAACCAAATACCAACACCAGCTTCTCTTTCAGCCGTATGACCAAAACCGAAGCTCCAACACCGTCCACCAAGAGCTAAGTGCTTTATTATGATCCACCCTCAGCCCTTCCCACCCATTTATGTATTAAGGCTTTCATCTGTCCGCTTAGTCAGTCAGCACCGAATCATAGCCTTAATAATCCTTGTATAAGGATCACCTTATGACAGGGCATAAAGGAATGGTCCAACCAAAATAAAGACAGATCCACATACGTACGGGTGAGAACACCATGGAGCGTCTTTACTGACTAGGGAAATAAAATAATCAAGAAAGAAGTGTTTAAAGGTATACTAAGCAAGGTATAGCTAAACATAAACATAATGTGTCATTGTAGGAACTCCTCGTCTTATTTTATGTTGCCAATTTATCTGGGGGAAGACTTCAAGTAAAACCAACTGACCACTAATCAATGACCCCCCACTTTTATATTGTCTTAGCTTTAGCTGCTTAACTTGTAAATATGTTTGTTTCTGGATCTTGTGATATTAAAACAACAATATCTCTCAAAGTGAGTTCTGTCTTGCAAAGTACAGTTCAATGGAAACTAGAAACTTTGAGTTTAGAAATACCTCCTGCGTAGTATGCCTATAATGCGTAGTATGCCTAGTAGTGACGATAATGAGGGAAATTGTTGGATACAAGTGTGATGAAGAAGTTAAATGGAGTATGTATTAGCCAATCACAGAGAAACACACTGGTAATTTTTGGTTTGTAGTTTAAATAAACATTTTAGTTGGGTTAATAAGGATCCTTACTTTGATTACTGTTTTATTTCCACTTCCTCATTCCAGACTAACCAGTGCTGAATGACGCACCAGATAGTCTTGTGTTTTTCCTCATGCTTCACCGTAAATAATGCAGCTTTCACATTTTAACTGCACGTCGAACTCTACTGAAGCTTGCACAGAGTAATGTAAGAGCCACTGGAGAAAATCCAGAAGGCTGGGTAGACGGCCTCAGCGAACTGAAAACTAAACGAATGGAAGGGATACGCCCTGTCTGCCACGTTGTAGAACGTAGCCCTGCCCTCCTCACAATCCAGCAGCACCCCGACGCGCTTCGGGTTCGGATTGACCAGCACCGCCTCCGAGCTGTTGTGCCAGGCCGACAGCTTCACGTTGAACCACTCGACGCACCAGGACTTGCTGTTGCGACCGAGCCTGCTGGTGGGGCCCTTGCGGTCGATGCTGCTGTAAGCCAGCCCGATGCCGATGAAGTTGTTGCTGCTCAGTCGCACCTCCCAGTAATGGCGGCCTGCGGAGAAGCCCTTGGAGGCCATGACCTGGGAGCAGACGGCGAAGCGCTCTGGGCAGTCGGGGTAGTTTGTGTGCTCGTCAGACACCGAGGCCTTGGTGAAATTCTCGCTTAGTTCGATGCGTTTATGGGCCGTTCTTTGATCAAAATTGAGCACGGTGCCATCTAGTGGAGACAGAACAAAAGTCAAGTTTAACGTCAAACGCCTGCTAATGGGACAAGAGGGAAAGATATTGGCTTCCTTACATTTCATAAGGTCACTTCGTTTCTCGGCAGAGCTTATCTCTGAGGGAATGTCTGTAGTCTCTGTGACAGGAGACAGGAAAACACATTTCAAGCATTTTGTTCAGATGCATCTCAAGTTTGAATCTCATCAAAAAGTCAATTTATGACAGTAATTCAATTCAAAAAGTCAAATTATGATATCGGTCTGTTTCTAATGACTATACATTTCAACTGTTTTGTTGACGGTTCGAGCAAATGACTAATGAAAATCCAGTTTCTCAGAACATTACATAATAACTTAAAATATGATTTTTTTAATGCAGATATTTTACTGTTTACACTACCATGGAGAAAACTGATAACTTGACCATTGTCCTGCATGCAGTTTGTTTTAAACACATTGCAACATTTAAATCTGGTACCTACCAGTTACTTCTTTGTTTTCAGCAGCAGCAGGACGTCCCCTTGGTTTTTCTTTCACACCAAACTCCATCAGGTTTTCTATAGATTTTCCCAGTTTCTTATTGCCTGGATTGGTTTCGGTGGTCAGTGAAGGGTTTTTTGGGGCTTCTAGAGAGAAATAAGTCAGAATTTTATATATCTCAACTACAACAAAAAACCTCTAAGATTCACAATTATACACTACTTGGGTTGGTATATCAGAAAATCTCAAGAAAAAACCATTAGCTTGTAGGTTTTCAATCTCACCTTAACAAACGTACTCCAATGGTGTATGTTTTTGGTTTGTGTTTGATTAAATTACTCTAGGAATGTGGTTTGTTTGCATGATGAATGGAAAAAAAAGTTGGGTTTTTCTTACTTTGAGGTTTCTTCTTTTGGGCCGGTTTGGCCTGAGGAGCTGGACTGTGGGATCTGGGGAGTCGAGGGTTCGGCAGGGGAAAGCTTGGATCTGAAGAAAGTTATAAACATGACAAATACAATTTTATTACGCATCTCTTAGGAATGAGATGGATTACAGACACATAAATTGGCAGATTGAAAACAGGTGTTGGAGAGATAAACACACCGGATTCCTGTCCAAGACTCGTAGTTGAATGCCCAGAGGCAGAAGCTGCTCTTTCACCTGAAACGTGAGTTTAGTTACTTAGCCTTTCATGCTTTCATCTAAATAATTAAATGCATTTCCTCCAAAACACCACCTCGCTAAATCACTGCACCAGCTAGAGTATTTGGTTTGATTGGTTTCCTTTTCTTTTACCCCTCCACATATTAAACCACTCACCCGCTGCAAATGTGCCAGTATTTATGTCTGAAATAAAATTGGATATTTACTTCACTATGCTTTTATCGTGCAACTACACAGGGTGAAGCCACCAGCTCATAAATGTGCTTGCATAGTCACCTGCTATGAGTTTGGGGATTCTGGCCTCCACGGGTTGCTTCAAGAGCTCTGTCAGGTAGTTCTTCAATGTCAAAGCAAAGGCCTCGGATTGCACGACCTTCTTGGAGTCCAGAGTGATTCGAGGGCTGTAAGGGTCATAGCTTACAGCCTGGGGAAGGTTAAATGAAGTCTGCAGGGACAGAACAAAAGAGAGGTATTCATTCAGAAATGTGTATTTTGATGACCAGCCATCATGTGCGTGCATCAAATATTTTGCATTTTATGTTTCTTTCTTTTCATCCTATGCATGAAGAAGAGGGTTGGGTAGAAGAAAAGTGAATGTTTGTGTGCAGTCAGTGCTTGGTAGAAATTTATTCCTTATGCATTTTTACCATATTACAACCATGCACCATGTGTTTTATTGTGGTTTTATTTATGAGACCAGCACAAAGTTGAGGTTAATGCATGGCTATATCAACCACGGAAGTTAAAAACGTGTGTTGCAATTAAAGCAATAAATTGTTTGGGAAACGTCTCCATCAGGTCAACAATGCAATGAAGACTGAAATGTTTTGTCCATTTTCTTTGCAAAAAAATCTCAATCAGAGTCAGATTGGAAGGTCCGATGCTCAAGTCTTACCAAAGATTCTCAGTTAAGTTTAAGACTTTGACTGTGCCATTTTGGCACATGAATCTGCAGCTACCCAAGAACTAAGATGGTTAAGTTTGCTGCTTGTACAATTAATACTCTCATTTCTGTCAGACCATTTTCATTTTAAAACGATGACTTGAACAGTTTTCTACGAGCTGTTCAAAGTTTACAATACTTTAAAAAAAATAATTATTTAATGAGCCACATTGTTCATTTTGCTGTTATCCCACCTGCAGGAAGGCCAGGGTTTGGGACTGACCCAGCAGACAGAAGATTTCCTCTTTAGCTTTGCCGATGTTGTCGACGTTCTCGCTGAACTTTGAGATGAGACCTCTGATTTTGGTTTCACCAGTCTCCACCTCTTTGTCTATTGCCTTCAGGGCGTCACCCTCCTCTCTGGTCATCATGTCCCGCATCTGCTGATACCCGGCCGACAAGGCACTTTTCCTGTGGATGGCCGACTCCTTGCGAGGAGCACAGCAGCAGAAATTAACCCCAAACTTAAATCAACAACATTACAGCTCTTCATTTAAGCTTTAATCATTCAAATGATACAAACCCTTAGCTTGTTCTGCATGACCCTCATTTGAGAAATTACACTCTCGTTCTTCGAGAGCTTTCCATCCAGAAAAACTAACTTCTCTCTCAGGTCCACCTGTGAGCAGAGAAAACACGACTCATTCAGTAACGATTCATTCATTCATATCATGTGTCATTATGTATGTATGGATAAATATGCATTCAGTTTATGTAGATGCAACATTTCACCATTTCATGGTGAAGTGCTGAAGCACAGCATGTATTTGTTTGACTCGTCAATCCTGTTCAGATTCACCGGTGTTACGGCTGACATTGTGACTGAAATAAACAGAGTTGTTTGCGATAAAATATTGACGTCAACAATCAACAAAATCAATGATTCAACAGCACACTATCAGTTCCAGGCTGCGCAACAACTGCTAGTTTATAATTTATTACAGCATATTTACTTTATTAGTCGTTAATGACATAATAAACTCATGCTGCTCTGATAAGTCGTCTTTGACTTTGATAAACTCTCGGTTTATGAGGAAAAACTCCTCCTAAACCGTATTGTCTCTGCTCAGGTGATTCACCTTCTGACCTTTGACCTATATGCCCAGAGTCAGTTTAATCTAATTCATGGGTGAACCGTGGAATATTTCAATAAACACTTACAACAAGATGACTTCAAATGTTAATGAGTTGCTCATTTAATCTCCCGTAGCTACTTCTAAATTGAAATATTTAAAAAAAAACATAAATTATTGATTTAATGTTTAGATTTAGCCACTTGTATAGAATGAAAAATAAAAATACAATTTATGACTGATTCCTAATTTGCAGATACAGCTCTGATTTTTAACCGGAGTTACTGTATAAGCAGCCTAAACACTATTGTTACAGTTGGATCTCAATAAATAAAAGTAGGTGCATTTTTTTTAGAGGCTGATAAAAATTATTACACCAGAGAAATGTTTGTAAATAAACTAAGCTTCATAATCATCTCAAGGCTGTTTACATCTGATGCTTGTCCACCTTCATCTAACAAATGTTTCCTTCCATTCAGCTTTCTATTAATGTGCTTACACAAATTAAATTCTAATTTAAAAATACTTTATTGATCCTAAAGGGAAATGAAATGTTCACTCTGTGAACCACTGGGTTCTCTAACAGTGACTTTATGTCCTAACCTTCCACGTGGTTGGTTTAAATGACCATCTGCTGGACAGTGGTTATGACTGTGCAGATCATAATGTGTTGGGTTGCATTATACACAAACTATATTCAGAGAATCATAAGGATTATTTTTGGAATTATTTCTCTCTCTCTCTTTTTAGATGCATTTGTATTAGACTGAACTACCTCTTTCTTGCTCCTTTGCTCCTCTGGAGAGGTGAAGGAGCAGCCTTTGTGGACCTGCTGCAGGCAGAGGCTGCAGATCGGACGCTGGTGTTGGCTGCAGAAGAGCTCCATCAGCTTGTGGTGGTCGGTGCAGATCCGCTCCATCAGGTCCCCGACGGGGGGCGACAGCTGGTGGAGGCGGAAAATGGGGTTCTCCCGGTGGGGCCGCAGGTGCTCCTCACAGAAGGAGGCCATGCAGGTGAGACAGGTCTGGGCTGCCTCGGCCTCCATACACGTGTCACAGCGGACCACATCCCTCTTCTTCTCGGGTTTGCTTGCAGCAGCAGCACCACCACCACCTTCGGTCTTGTTGGACCTGACCCTGAAGGTCTCCACCACGGTGCTGAGGACCGTGTTCTTCTTCAGCTCCGGCCTGGTGGCGAACAGGGTCCGACACTGGGGGCAGCTGTAGGAGTCCTTCCAGGTGGCGAGCAGGCAGTTCTGGCAGAAGTTGTGTCCGCAGGGGATGGTGACCGGGCAGTCAAAGGTGCTCAGACAGATGCTGCAGGTCAGCTCGTCCTCCAGGCTCATGAGAGAAAAGCCAGAGTCGTCGGCTTCGGCCATCATGAAATCTACAGCTGCAGTGACGAAGAAACGAAACTTAAAGGCGGCGCCTGAAAAAACGAAAGTAAGATACAGCTGGTACGGATTCGTTTACAAAGAAAAGTTCAAAAATTAAGATAATATACATCAAGTTTGTATCAGTCGGCTGCTTTTAAACAAACATGCAAATATTACGTGTCGATTGTAAGAACCTTTAAGTCCTTTAGTTAAACACTGTCGTGAATAGACCAGCAGCTGCGAGCACTGCTGTTAAACTTCCGCTTTAAATTCCCAATAAATTGCTCCTACAGTACCTTAAAGTTTTTGTGGACGCAGTTCAGGTCGGATTTTCAGAGCAGTCCGTCTCAGACCGAGGTGGAACCGCGGAACACCGAGGTGAGCCGTGACAGATCGGCTCTGAGCAAAGTCCCTCCCTTTGTTTAATAGCAGGTGTGGCGTTACGCTCAAGTCAGAGCTCATTTCACAGCAAAAGTCAGCCTGTTGTAGCTTCGACCAGTGGTTGGCTGCTCTAAAATATGATAAATACGTAACCCAAAGTCCTAAATTTGCTCCCTGTCTCTAAGTGTAAATGTATGTGGGAGGAGAGCATCGGGGAGGTATGGCTCACCACCTAGGGCGGCATCATGTAGCGGGATGGCATGTTCAAAAAAAGTTTTCTGTCACCTGTGCCCTGAACTCCAGTTATTTACATGCCCCATCTGTGGGAGTGCATTCCACTCCCACAGACAAACAACGGCACTTTTGAATTGAACAAACAATAGGCACTTTATATGGCCAAACACTGCAACATTTTAATGGTGTTTAATCTGTTTTCAATCCACTGCTACAATTAAAGGGCTATCTCAGGGTCTTTTTTTGTCGGTATCCTTAACTCCATTTGATAATTTCTCATTTGAAACTTATTTTGACTTATCAAAACAGAAGTGGACAATTAACTGAACCAAGATTTTTGAAATACAGCTATATAGTATATTCTAGAGAAATAAGACTCAATGTCAGGGTCATATTTAGGCTGCATGCCACGGAAACAAAAGGAAAACAGAAAGTCATGGATCACAAAGTAACTGTTCCTATACATTCTTCTGAACTTAAATATTAAGCAAAAATAAATGCTTCAGACAGTTGCATTTATTTTCATGGGGTTATATTTAAATATGTCAAATGAGACTCTTTGTAGTTTTTTTATTTTATTTATCAGAGAGGTTTATAAGTAAAACATATTTGACATTTCGGTACAAAAAAGAAGCGGAAAATGTTGATAAACCATGTAGGTTTGTTGAGTCTAGCACAGGGATTTATACAAAATGAGAAGTGTATATTTTTGTGTCTCTGTCCGGGCTCAGGTGCTGCTGTTGATGTGGGGCTTTTCAGGATGCTGCGTCTTGTTCTGGCTGCTGCTGTAGGCCTCGTTGAGCTGCTGCAGGTCCTTCATCAGGCCTGCAAACTGTTCCTCCTGTGAGCAAAAGTGAAAGCAGCCGTTAATGTGCTATCATTTAAAGTTGTACTAAAAAAGAATCATCTTCTTGGCTTCAAACATGGCCATCTACTTAAATATAAATTAAACTTTTAAACCAAATTCCTTCTAGGATCCAGATCCAATGAGTACAAAAAAAAAGCTATAAAACGAGTTCATATCTCCACACCTTCACCATTCTGCTTCAGTGTTGATTTCAGGTTTTTCTGCTGCTTCATTTTTGTCAAACATAGAGGATCACATTGAAGCCAAATTTCCATTATGCTGCCTACGTCTTTCATACACTTCTTCCCTTTGTTCAGATTCAGTCTTGCACATGTAGGTGGCATTACCATTTTCCTCTTACAGACAAGTGGCTGATTCCTGGCAACCTTTCAAAACAAGTTAAACTTGTTGTTTAGTAACTGTACTTAAATGTGAACATATGAGTCTTAGCCACTCCTATGAAGACTGGCAGCTGTCTTGAATATTTTCAACTTGCTAAGAAAACATCATTCTGTTCCGTGTTTGAATGAAAAAATGTCATTGTCTTTCTCCCATCATGGCACCTGAATGTATAACACCAGAAAAGGCCAAGAAGTCGTTTTTGTAAAACTTCTAGTCAGAATTGTTTTTAAACACATCCATTTGTATTTATTTATTTATTTATTTATTTTTTGTATGTATTTCTTCGTTTACAAGCTCTTAGCTAAATTCCTTCTTGTTCTCTTGAATTTTGCTCGGCTGCAAAATATATGTATGTATACTTGAGTCGTGTTTGAGAACATCCAACATTTAACAATAAAAAATTGTTTAGCATTTCGATGGACTGACGGATGCAGTATTTGCATGCTTTAATGCTCAGACTGTGTGCAGCTAACCAAATAAATTTGACTTAAATCCATTTGAATTCATTCTAATTTTGAAGACAAAAATGAAATTCACTGACGGATATTTGTGTCTCTGCTTTCCTTACCAGCACATTCATTCTCTCGGCTGCGGCAAGTGCAACATCTAGCCTCCTCTCATCTTCTTCCCTTTCCTCTTCAATCACTCCCAACCTGGAACAAACACAGAGACGCCAGCAACATACAGCAACATGGCGAAGTTAGAAAAAATGTGGGAAAGTTGTCTCTTCAGTTTGATCCCAAAGATTGCTTTAGCAGGCACACAAAAAAAATTCTATACAATCTCACCTGAAGGTGGCACTGGCGAGTTGCTCGTCTCGCACCGCCAGCAGGTTCTTCAGCTCATACACCTCATTTTGCAGCATTGCATTCTGGTCCTGGCTTTGGATGATGAAGTCCTCGAGACGTTTGGCCATGTCCAGCTCCCGCTCCGTCACCTGCTCTATCCCCAGACGGAGCTCTGACAGCTCCTGGGCGTGCTGGAGGGGAAATCACACTTTTATGTAAATGTAGGAAGTTGAAACCCAGTGTGAAATCAGTTCTGGGGACGGACAGACGGTGGAAACATACCCGGTCCAGTAAGCTGAACTGCTCGTTCTCGGCTTTCATCTCACTCGACTCCCTGTTGGAGTTGACGATCCATGGAACCGGTGCTGGAGGACGCCTGTTGCTTTCAATCTAAACAAGGTAGACAGGAGACTGCTGGGTTTGTTTTACTGGCAAAACAAAAAAAATATCTCTGGAAAATGTCAAATAGCATAGATTTACTGGTTGGTATCGCACGCCGAGGCCAGGCTTTACTCACAGTATCTGGTCGTGTGATAACTGGCTCGTTGACCTCGGCCTCTTGCTCTTCGTGGTCCGATGTCGGCAGCGCTTCGGAACTGATCTGCCTCTTCAGGGCTTGTTTGCCGTGACCGGGACGTCTGTGTGGAGCACTCTGGGTTCTGGCGACTGGTTTCCTCTCTCTCGTGCTCTTGCATGGTCTGCTTTCATTGCAAAATAAACAGATCAGTATGCCATAATGTCAGTATTTCATCCATTACTGAGCCATAGTAAAATCAAAATGCAGTTTTCAAATTATTCAAATTTGTATCTTTTTTTTTTTTTAGCTTTGACAACATCTCCTGCAAAACTGCATGTAAAAATATGATCTTTTGTGATTCTAAAAAGCAAGGGGGAAAAAAATGTGTTGCCACTTTAAAAAAATGGTTTAAATTGTTTACTACCGATTTTTTCTACAGCAGTAGTTTGTGGTAAATTCAGTTTTATTTTCTTCACAAACAAAAGATTAGTCTGTTGGAAAACCAAAGTTAACCGAATGCAGTGCATATTTACTGAGTGAAAATCTACTGTTGTCATCTTTAGTTTTGACTAGCTTTCCTTAGAGGATTTTATACATTTCAAATGATCTTCATCACTTGTGAATTGTTTAACAAGTACACAGATGTCCTATTGTACCTGTCTTGTAGGCCTTTGGAGTCCACAGGCAGTCTCTGGAGGGAAGACTGCAGAGGACTGTACTTTCTCAACTCTCGTGGAGGAACATACACCGGCTTGGATGGTTTTGTATGACTGCAAAAAAAGAGGCCGGTCAAAATGGCAGCATAAAGCTCACGGTAGAGGCTCAAGGCCCCTAACTTACCTGTTCACAATGATTCGAGGTGCTTCAGGACCAAGTGAATCACTTATCTGGTTCAGGATTGAAGGCAGAGGATGCAGCTTGTCAATCGTGTCCTGAAAACGAGAAGCTGGAAGTTAGAACATCTGATGCGTAACGGACTCTCGTTCATGATGCTCATGATTATCAACCAAACTGCAATCACTTTCCGTCCCACCTGATCCTTCTTGTAGATGATGTCCACCAGGAGGCCGTGCAGCACAGCCAGACGCAGGGGCAAGTCTACGTAGCCATCAAAGGATGTCATCGGGATTTCAGTGTCTTGATTGGACACCGTTTGCAGGAAACACCTCATCCCGTCCCAGTGCTGCTCCAGGAATTCATTCATGAACAGCATGTACTCCTCCTTCTCTCCAAACCTGAATCCACACAAAACATTTCATTTGCTTAAACATTTCCACTTTCACTCATGTAGCGTTTGTCAGCATGAGTTGAGATGACTAGATGCGACGCACAAGGTGGAGTTGGCCAGGTTCTGGATGACTTTGGCAGTAAGGGTGAGGGTCCGCAGGGTGTTCGGCTCCGGATATGCCTGTGTCAGTCCGAAAAGAGAAGGACTCAGGATAGCAGGACATAAGAAGCGAAGGAAGAGCGAAGCAGAGATGAGTCGCTGCCCAATTTCTGCTTTCCCCTTGTCTTCACACAGCTCCATCCAGTTGGAGAAGATCTTGTTTAATTCCTCAGGAAAAGATCTGAGAAAGGGAACGATATGCTCGATCAGTTCCGTGAAGCAATTTCTCTTTTGCTTCTTCTTCACCAAGCCGTCGTGTCTCACCCGTGTATCTCGATTATCTTCTGCACCACATCTTCGCAGGTTTCCCTCAAGTGCTGCTGGTTGCTCGACAGTTCAGCAGCGGGGCATTTGAGAGGGTCAACTTCACAGTTCTCCACCGAGGCGTATAGTCGGTTGATGAAGTCCCCTTCATGAGAAAAAGAAAGAAAGAAATTAAAGCAGAAAGCATTCGAAACATTTCAGTTAACGTATGTGAAAAGAAAACAGAGACGCAGCCAATCCAATCCAGTATTTGTGTCAGATCTGATATCGACCTTTCACCGACTGGATATTGGGTACCATAAGAGAAAACTGCAGATCTCTACAGAGGAGCGACAATGATCTTCACCTGATAACAGGCAGGCTTATTTCGTTGATGATGCTCATTCGTTTTGTTTGGTTTTTTAACGTTTAGCCGCAGCTTGCCATGGATCTGAAATTATTTGGAAATGTCGAAAGCCTGCTGGAAGTCCTTGACATGAGGTATGAATTTTTACAATCAGGATTTTATGCTCTGAGCCTCTGCTGTTAACTATAGCTTACAGTAAAAAAAACAACAACCAAAAAACCCTGTTAAAACAGTTTTAAAATGTCGCCATAACACGTTCTTAACTTAGATTGGCTGAAACAGGGAAGCACTATTTTAGTGAGCTGCTTGGTGAGACCTTTCCTCATCTTTTATGTAGACATGCTGCACTCAAG